TGATGGACTTGCGACCCGTCCAGGGTGTACCCCGCCCCTCGCACAGTGATTGGTGGACATGGGCACCGGCGACCTCCGTGACCCAAAATGGAAGAAGCGGGTAAAAGATAATGGATGGATGGTTTATCAGTTGACACAAAGAAAAGTTATGTCTAATATACTGTATGTACTAAACCAATTAAAAAATAGACCAGAAAAGTTAACCCAGTTTCATACCCAATTTTATAATGTAATCAATCAACAGGCTCAAAAGTGGCACTGAGAGATCCAAGTGCATAAAGACAGATATATTTCTAGAATCAGTGTTTTTATGGAGGTCAAAGTATTTTTGTATTTTGGTAAAATGAGGAAAAACTTGATGAATATCAAATATATTGTTTGTATATCTTGTATTGCTTTCAGTAAGTTTTGACAGTTTGCAAAAAATTAAAAAACAGCTCGCCTACTCCTGTCTCTGATGTTCTTTGTGCATTCCATTCCAATCTGTCTAATGTATCACTTATTTCTGTTTAGTTTCCTGTTGTTGCCAATGATTGTTAAAACATACCAACACTTTTTATTATTTAATGGTAAAGCCATCTTTAATTTTTTCCTACATTACCAGGTGCTTTCCTCATCCCTTACCTGACTGCATTGGTTTTTGAGGGCCTCCCGCTGCTCTACCTGGAGCTGGCAATAGGACAGAGGCTCCGAATGGGCAGCATCGGAGTCTGGAACTCCATCTCTCCACTGCTGGGCGGACTTGGTGGGGGAACTTTATTGTAAACAAAACATTGTTAACAAGAGGTACGAAGATGTCTTCCGTCGCTGAGGGATTTGAATAATGAATGTTTGTAGTTTATAAGATGAGTTTTAGCAGCATGATGGCACAGTTGGTAGAGCTGCCACTTCTCAGTAAGAAGGTTGCCAGATCAAATCCCAGCCAGGGACATTTCTGGGTGGCGTTTGCATGTTCTGTCCATGCATGCATGGGTTTTCTTCAAGTACTCTGGTTTACTCCCACAGACCAAAAATCAAGCATGTTAGTTAATTGGCAAGTCTAAATTGTCCCTTTATGAGAGTGTGAGTAGTTTGTTGTCTCATTTGTTAGTATATTGCCCTGTGATTGAATTGTGACCTGTCCAGAATGCACCCTGCCTTTTGCACAGTGACTGCTGGATATGGGTACGAGTGTCCCATGTGACCCAGAAAGGAAGAAGTGGGTAAAGATAATTTATGGATTTTTGTGTGTGCCACCCAATATTCAAAAGGAAACTTCCTTACGCCTAAATGTAGCCACTCACCAAAATATAATTTTTTTGGTGTACCACATTTTGGTGTTTAGCTATACTGTATATCCTGTATATACTGTATATAGGCATAAGAAAGGTCACTATTGAAAATCAGGCTACCACATCAAAAATCATGATGGCTGCTGCCATATTTGTATACTGTATATGTACATCATGTAGGTTGGATAACTTGAAAAATTAGCAAGCTGCCAACTTTTATTTTGGTTTGTGGTTGCATCTAGATGCAAAAAAGTTTCCTTTCAAAAACAGGGCTGCCACGTCAAATCCAGTCCAGTTAAACACTCATCTCGAAATCTACAAACAGTCACTATTTTATCCCCTCTGCGACAAGAGACATTGGCACACCGCTTGTTTGTTCTTGTGGTAAATCTGTTTGTTTTTTGTAAAATTCCTTTACACCAGGTAATTTTTCCTGTGTTCAGGCATTGCCTCCATGTTTGTTTCGTTCCTGGTGTCTGTGTTCTACAACACCATCCTGGCCTGGGTGCTCTGGTACTTCTTTCACTCTTTTCAAAATCCACTGCCCTGGAGTGAGTGTCCTCTCAATGAAAATCAGACTGGTGAGAAAAAATAACCATGCAGCTTTGGAAAATGTGTGACGCATTGATGTTAATAAACAGACACAAATAAGAAAGAAAAATAAAAGAAAGAAAGAATGAGATCCCAGATACAATTAGCCGAAATAAGCTTCCTTTCATAGGGTGGCATTGCATAACCTTAGATATAGGATGAGAAGCTTCATCACCTAGGCAAAGCTCGCTGTAGAGCCACTGTTCCTTCCCATCTCTTGAGGTGTTTAGGACATCTGATAAAGATGTCACTTAGATACCTTCGTTTTCCAGGCATGCCCCAATGGGGAGAGACCCTTGAGCAGACCCAAGACTTACTGCAGGGGTTATTTATCCTCTCTAGCCTGGAAATGTCTTGGACCACCCAGGATGAGCTAGAGAAACTGTAGAGTGACATTAGAGAGAGGAATGTCTGGGTGTCTGCCCTGGATGAAGTTTTTCACTAAATGGTAAGTTTTGTCTATTCAGGTTATAATGTGGAGTGTGAGAAGAGCACGCCGGTGAATTATTTCTGGTATCGGGAAACTCTGAATGTTATTTCAGACATTGAGACCAATGGTTCATTGCAGTGGTGGATGGTGGTCTGTCTGGCCACTGCCTGGTGCATAGTTTACATCTGCTTCATCAAAGGCATTGAGTCCATTGGACAGGTCAGTAGTTAATGTTAAATACTGCATTATAATTTAAACATCAACCAGAGATCACTAATTTCCTTATTTTTTTCAGGCTGTTTATGTCACAGCCACATTTCCTTACTTAGTGCTGACCATCTTCCTGATCCGTGCTCTCACCCTGCCTGGAGCCACTGATGGTTTGATTTACCTTTTTACTCCGGATGTGAGATCTTGTTGTGTTACATCTGTAAGGTTTTAAGTTACATTATAGACAGATCTAATGTAGAATATTTTCCTTGTTGCAGTGGAATATCCTAAAAAATCCCCAGGTATGGCTGGATGCTGCCACCCAGATCTTCTTTTCCCTTTCTATGGCAGGTGGAGGTCTTATAGCATTCTCAAGCTATAATGAAGAGAGGTAAGACCAGAAGTTTTTTGTAGTATTAGAGTGATGATAAAACTCAATTGTTTTCCTGCCATTTTGTCTTTCAGAAATGACTGTGAGAGGGACACCATTCTAATAGGAATAATTAACAGTGCCACGTCTCTCTATGCATCCATTCCCATTTTTTCCATACTGGGATTCAAAGCCACTAACGGCTTTAACTCTTGTCGAAAAGAGTATGCAAGTGTATTTACTTGTGTTTTTTTTTTAATTATTTGCATTTTTTTAGATTTTACAAATTGACAAAAAAAAAAAAAGATATAATTTCTCTAATCATATTTGCAGGAACATCCTTTCCCTGACCAACCACTTTGAGTTTTCAGACCAAAACATCACATTAGAGAACTACAACTACTAGTTTGATCGTTTAAATAAGAGCTATCCAGACGTTGTGTCCAATTTGTCACTGAAGGAATGTGATCTACAAGCATTCTTGGACCAGGTAGTCTGACTCATCTACACATCACATTCATCCTAATCTTTCTTGCTTGCTTACTTCTTTGCTTCCTTCCTTCTTTCCATCCATCCTTCCATCCATCCATCCATCCATTATCTTCGACTTCTTCTGAAATCAGGTCGTGGGGGCAGCAGCTTGAGTAGAGAGGCCCAGACATCTTTTTTCACAGCCACCTGTTCCAGCTCTTCTGGGAGAACTCCAAGGCGTTCCCAGGCCAACCGAAAGACTTGGTCTCTCCAGCGTATCCTGGGTCTTCCCTCGGGTCTCCTCCCAGTTGGACATACCCAGGGAGCATCCTTATCAGATGCCCAAACCACCTCAAATGGTTCCTCTGGATGTGGAGGAGAGGTTCTACTCCAAGTCTCTCCCAGATCACAGAACTTCTCACCTGATCTCTAAGAGAGAGTCTAGCTACACTGCGGAAGAAACTAATTTCAACCACCTTAATCCGCAATCTCATTCTTTTGGTCTCTACCCCAGAGTTTGTGGACATAGGTGAGGGGATAAACATAGACCCACTGGTAAACAGAGAGCTTTGCCTTACAGCTCAGCTCCCTCTTCACCACAATGGACTGGCACAGAGTCCACAATACTGCAGACGCTGCACCAATCCGCCTGTCAGTCTCATGCTCCATTCATACTTCTCTCGTGAACAAAACCATAAGATACTGGAACTGCGCCACTTGAAGCAGAACTGCACCCTCTATCTGAAGAGAGCAATCCACCCTTTCTGGCTGAGGACCATGGCCTCAGATTTGGAGGTGCTGATACTCATCCCAGCCACTTTACACTCAGCTGTGAACCGCTTCAGTGAGAGCGAAAGATCATGGCACGATAATGCTAACAGGACCAAATCACTTGCAAAGAGCAGAAATGGATCCCTGAGGCCACCAAACTGGACTCCCTTCATCCCTTGGCTGCACCAAGAAATTCTGTCCATAAAAGTTATGAACAGAATCTGAGACAACAGGCAGCCCTGGCAGAGTCCAACTCCCACCCTGAAGGGGTCCAACTTATGGCCAGCAATGCAAACCAAACTCTTGCACCACTTGTATAGGGACTGAACAGCTCGTTGCAATGAACCCTCAATCTCATACTTGCAAAGTTGAATGCCCTCTCCAAGTTCACAAGACACTTGCAGGATGGATGGGCAAACTCATATGACCCCTCAAGGACCCTAGCGAGGGTAAAGAACTTGTCCATTGTTCCACTGCTAGAACAGAACTTGCATTGTTCCTCCTGTATCTCAGGTTTGACCAACAATTGAACTTGCTTCTCCAGTACCCCTGAATAGACCTTAATAGGGAGGATAAGGACAGTGATGTCCCTATAATTACAGCACATCCTGCAATACTCGTTTTTGAAGAGGGGATCCACCACCCCAGTCTGCTAATCCAGTGGCACTGCCCCTGATGTCCATGCAATGTTGCAAGGGCATGTCTACCAAGAGAGCCCCACAACATCCAGAGCCTTTAAGAAATCAGGGCAGATCTCATTCACCCCCATAGCCCTGCCACCATGGAGCCTTTTTAACTACCTCAGCACAGTCAGCCACGGTTATGGAAAGCCCAACCCTGAAGTCAGCTTCTTCTATGGAAGATGTGTTGGTGGGATTGAGAAGGTCTGATAAGTATTCCTTCCACCTCCCAATGACATTACTGATTGAGGTCAATAGCACTCCATCTATACTGCCCACCGTATTGGTAAAGCATTGCTTTCCCCTCCTCAGCTGCCTGATGGTTTGCCACAGGGATTAATTTGTTAACTGATCAATGCAGGAACAGAAATAGAGGGTGGGCCAGCAGGGGTGAGGGGTTGGGGTCCTCTCACAGAAACATTTGAATAAAGTAGATGTGATTTCCTGCATTTTGGTGTATTTTAAAGGTTAAACCTCTATGTTTATCTACATTTGTAAACACTCTGCTTCTGTCAAGCATCCCAACCCCCACCCCTACTTGACGGTTCTGAGCCCGACACTGTCCCTGCTCATTGTTGTCCAACTCCACATGTGAAACATCTAAGCACCTCCTCCATCTGGGCTCCTGCCCACGTACGACTGCCTGGTTAGTCCGATTGGCACCCACCCACACCACTCTTTTAGGGGTGGATATTTTTTAAGGGTAGACTCAGAAAGGTCACTTGAAGGGGCATCTCATATGCTCGTAAGTGGCTGTTGTGCTTAAAATTAATGATTATGTAATTACTTTTAGTTTATATATCTAACATAAGTTTTATTTTTACAAGGCAGTATACTTGTTCATAACTTTATTATTAGTAAACCTGAAAGTTACCAGATCCAAGCAAGTTTCCAGTTTCTGGAACGCACACAGTCAAAATAAGAGTTCCTGGATCCTGTTATGGCAGGATCCGACTCAAATTAAACACTGGTTTGCCAGAATCTCCTCAGAGCTGACCGATAGTCTCTATCAAAGGCCTCACTGAACTCCTCCCACATCTGAGCTTTTGCCTCAGCAAAAGCCAAGGCTGTGAACTGCTTAGCCCTCCAGTACTCCTCAGCTGCCTCTGGAGTCCCACCTGCCAACAAGGCCTGAAAGAATGCCTTCTTCAGCTTGACAGCCTCCCTAACCCAGGGTGTCCACCACCGAGTTAATGTATGTCCACCACGAGGAGCACCAACAACCTTGTGGGCACCTCAACAAATGAGGTGCAGAACATGGCCCACTCTGACTGAATGTCTTCCACTGCAGCTGGGATGTTATTAAAACTCTCTCAGAGGTGTAAGTTGAAGCTCTTTCTGATGAATTATTCCCAGCAGACCCTCACTACATGTTTTGGTCTACCAGGTCTGTCTGGCATCTTCTCCCACCATCTGATCCAACTCATTATCAGGTGGTTATCAGTTGACAGCGCAGCTCCTCTCGCCACCCAAGTGTCCAAAAACAAATGGCCACAAATCAGATGACACAACAACATTCAATCATTGATCTACAACCTACGGTGTCCTGGTGCCAAGTGCACTTATGGACACCCTTCTGCTCAAACATGGTGTTTGTGATGGACAATCTATGACTAGCACAGAAGTCCAACAACAGAACACTGCTTGAGTCCAGATCAGAGAGGCTGTTCCTCCCTGTCACGCCCCTCCAGGTCACACATTCATTACCATTGAAGTCCCCCAGCAGAATAAAGGAGTCCCCAGCTGGCAGACCTTCCAGCACCCCAGCTAAGGACTCCAAGATGGTGCTGCCACCAAAGAACTGCCATTCAGCACGTCGGCACAAACAACAGTCAGAGCCTGTCCCCCCACCCAAAGGCGCAGAGAAGCTACCCTCTCATCTATTGGGAAAAACTCCAACACACAGTCACCAAGTTGGGGGCTAATAGTAGACCCACACCAGGTCAGCACCTATCACCATGGACAACTCCAGAGTGGAATAAGATCCAGTCCCTCTCAAGGAGATTGGTTCCGGAGCCCATTTAGTCGGTACCTCTCAACCTCACGCATAAGCTCAGGCTCCTCCCCTGCCAGAGAGGTTACATTCCACATACCAAGAGCCAGTTTTGGTAAGCCAGGGTCAGAGCGCCAAAGCCCTTGCCTTCGGCCACTGCCCTTGGATCCATGCACCTGACTCTTATGGCCCCTCGTACAGGTGGTGGGCCCACAGGAAGGCAAACTCATGCTGCTCTTTCCAGATGAGTTCAACTGGGCCCCATGAGTAGAGACCTGATCACCATAGGCACTCCCTGACGAACTTCACCCCCAGGCCTGGCTCCAGGGTGGGGCCCCGGTATCCCACGTCCATGCAAGGGACACTGAGCTCATTGTTTTATTTTGTCCATAAAAGTCTTTGGAATTGCTCTTTGTCTAGCCTGTCATCTAGGACCAATTTGCATTGGGAGACCCTACCAGGAGCAATTACAATTGCCCCCAACAGCATAGCTTCTAGTATCATTTAGGCGCACAAACTCCTCCACCACAATAAGGTGTCGATTCAAGGAGGAGCGTAATTTTTATTTTCCCTTCAATAACTGTTTTATTTTCTCTCAATTTGCACTCTTTTCCAGTATAGTGCCTCTTTCTCATCATGTTTGTCAGACATTTACTTAGTTTTCTCACAATTATCTTGTCTCTTTTAAAACTTCCTCCTAAAGAGTGCTTCAGGGACTGGCCTGGCTTTTATTGTGTTCATGGAAGCAGTCTTGGAGATGCCTGGCTCACAGATATGGGCCATACTTTTCTTTGTTATGCTCTTCTGTTTGGGTCTCTCCTCCATGTTTGGCAACATTGAGGGCATCCTCACATCCATCAATGATCTCAAACTTGTTCCCAAGTGGATCCCCAATGGACTTCTGACAGGTGCCAAATTCAACTGAAGATATTTTAAACAAACTGAGCATTTGGTTCCTCTATCTGAAGTATTTTTTTCTGCTTCTACTTAGGAATTGTCTGTTTGATAGCCTTCTTGTTGGCCCTGACCTTCACCCAGGGTTCAGGAAACTACTGGCTGGGGGTCTTTAACAGCTATGTGGGCTCTGTACCTTTCCTCATTATTGCATTCTTTGAGATTGTTGGAGTCATTTACATCCATGGAATGAAAACGTAACTTTCTTCCCTTTCCACTCAGTCATTAGACAAATGAAATTCATAAAGAATTGATATCCAAATTTATTTTGCTCCGCTGTGTATACCAATAGTTTCAGTGAAGACCTCTATTTCATGACTGGAAGGAGACCCAATATCTACTGGAAGGCGTGTTGGATGGTGATTAGTCCACTAATGCTCCTGGTGGTGTTGGTTGCTTATGTGGCCATGCAGGCACAGCAATACCCCATTTATGCAGCATGGCACCCAGACTATGCAAGGGTCTATAATCTACCTGTTTGTTTTATTGTAACAAAAATACTGAAAAAAAATTTCAAACTGAATATATTATAAATATGCAAACATATTTTTTCTTTAGGAACAATTCCCTCAAACTGAGGTGAAGCACTATCCAAAGTGGGTGTTGGCCATAATCGTACTCCTCTGTGTTCTGCCTGTGATTTCCATCCCTCTGGTGGCTCTCTACAGACTGATCTGCTCGAAAATCAGAACGTCACCAACTCCAGCTGAACCAAATCCCTAATGCAATGACAGCTCTGAGGTTGAAACACAGAAACAGAGATGCCTAAGAACTTAATAGAACCTTAAAAGTTTCCACAGCAGTAAATAGCCTGATGGACATCATCACTAAATGAAACATTTTAACATAACTCCATAATATCTCAAGAATCTTATTGTTCCATATTTTCCTAACAGAGAACTTTCCTCTCAGACTACAGGTTTACTTGTGGTTCTTAGAGTTTCTAAAAGCAGAATGTGAGTCAGAGCTTCTACTTATCAGGTTACTCTTTTGTGAAACCATCTACCAGCTTTTTTTTTTTCTACCTGGATTATTGCGCATTCATCAGGTCATCTACCAGCTTCTGTCAGTGAAGCTGACACTGTCAATTTTTAAGAATTAAGACAGTCATATTTGATAAACCTAAAGTTACTGTTATCATTAGTTTTTTAACTATCCTTTAGTTATGCTGCCTTAGACTTAGGCTGCTAGAGGGCAAACAGTCCTGCTCGAAAAAGAAAGGAAAGAAAAGCTTTGCAGAGAGTGGGGAAGGCTGCACAGAAGACCGTTGGAGTCAGCCTCCCCACCATCACAGACATCTACACCTCCAGATGCAGGAAGAGGATCACCTGCATCATGAAGGACCCCACACACCCAGCACACACACTTTTGCCCCGCTCCCATTAGGAAGGAGGTTAAGGAGCATTAAGTGTAGAACCACTATACCAGGGGTGCTAAACTCACAAAAGGGAGCCAAAATTAAAAATGTTCAAATTAAGGGCCATTTTTCAGAAACTACATTAACTCAAGTCAGAAACCCAACATCTTCTCTTGGTCACATGTTCCTCAACAAGAGTTTGATTGGTCTCATTTGACGTTCTCTGTTGTGCTTTCCACATCATAATCAAAGATTACTTAAAAAATTCATAAAAGTCATAAAAGCATTTTACGTTTAACACATCATCTTGGGGGCCAGAGAAAATGTCAACGAGGGCCACATTTGGTCCCCGGGCCTTGAATTTGACGTATGTGCACTAGACTGAGGAACAGCTTCTACCCTGAAGCAGTCAGACTCATGGATCCCTAATCAGGATAATCACTGAAAAATCACTGTAATGCTACTTGATTGTTGATATGTTGCTGATTATCCATGTTGCTGATTTATTTCATGCTTCTGTGTTCATTCGTACTCATCTGCTCACACAAACTCATGTTCGTGCTGCTGTTGCTCAGCATATTGTTTTTGCACTACTAAGTGTTTCGCATATTCATAGTTTGGAGTATTTCTTAGTTCATATCTTAGATCTTATTACTGTTTTGCCTTTACAATTTATACTTTTGTTGGATGTAACGGGGACCCTGTGTACAGAATTTTGTTCCATCGCATGTACCAGATGAGATGAGAATGACAATAAAGAAACCTTAAAAACTTAACTTCACCATTTTTGGCATCCCATCATTTTTTTCACAACACACAATTATTTTAAGTGGGTAAAGATAATGGATGGATGGATGGATGGATGGATGGATGGATGGATGGATGGATGATGGATGGATGGATGGATGGAAGGAACATAAAATAAATCACAAACAAATCTACTTTGGTTGTGAATGAAATATGAAAATAAATTGATAAAAAAGAACCCTCTATTCTGACATTTTATTGCAACATATTGCAACATTTTTCTTTCTTTTTGCTATCTTTAAACAAGTAGTGCAAACATAAAAAGAGACTACCATGCATCTTTTTTGTACATTGTTGATTATTTTTTCCCAACCGATGGCACTGTGGGATCAGAGGTTGGTTTTTTTTTTTGGCACCTACTGTATTTGAGGCTCCAGGATCTGCAGAGAACCACAAACCAAATAATAGCCTAGCATTTATTGAAAGAATGCATATTACTCATCTGCTTTAATCCAAGGGTTATAGACTAAGATCATCTTATACTGAAAAATGATGAAGTTATAATTATTTTGATCAAAATAACATTATGCTTGTGGGGGTAGACCATAGAATGGATAATTTATGAATTCTTATTGATTCTCTGCAGCCCGTTTTTGTACTCGTCAGTTCAGCTGAGTTCATAGTGCAGCCCCACTCAGCTCCTCATCCAGCTCCCTCTACCAACCCAAACATGTGGTTCAGAGTTGTTCTCAGCCATATTAATAAAAGCATCCGTAACAATTGAACAAAAATTCCCTAACAAAGATCTTCCGCACAGTTTCCTTTATCACACGTTACATTACGTTGCAAGTTGAAGAAAGAAAGATCTGTCTGAGGAAAGCTTTTACTTCCTTTATATTTTACTTAGATCATTTTTTGGTTTGTTTTTATGTGATTATGAATTACTCCTTATTGTTTTTTTTCTTTTATCGTGACCCCATCCATGAGGGATGCTGAAATGCACCATAAGCTTCAGAAAGGCGCTCAGGTATGGCATATCAAGATGCTAATTGGACAGCATGATTATTGTACAGGTGTGCCTGCACAGTAAAAGGCCATGTGCAATTTTATCACAATATAACGACACAGATGTTGCAAGTTCTGGGGGAGCGTGCAACGGCCATGCTGACTGCAGGAATGTCCACTATAGCCATGAATGTTAATTTCTGTTGGATAAATTAATTCCCCTTTCGAAGATCTTTCAACCCAGTTTTTACGTGCAAGGGGGTGGAGTTCAAAACAGGGTTACACAGATGTTACATTGAAGCTCCGGCTGCGAGGTCTGCCCACGAACAGTATAAAGAAGTGCATTTTTATAATGCTTATCAGACAGAGGTCAAGACAACCTCTGCTTTCCAGCTCACAGATTTGGAGGTGTAAGCAGTTATGTTATCTGCAGGCTCCTCTCTGTTCAGACGAAACAACTCTAACTCACACACACGGTTCTACATTAAATTAACAGTAAGTGATAACATCCAGGACCTTTATCTAAAGTCCCCTGACAATTTCTGTACCCCAAGCCTTCTTCAAAGGCGTTCGGCAGTACATCCAACCAGCGTCACAACCTCAGATAACATGTAACCACACCAGGCCAAGATCTTCACATCCAGCATCTTCACCTTCAAGACTGTCTGAGACCAGCTACCTGGACAGCTGCTGCAACACTCGGATTGCATTGACCAAAACATTTCTGCCAGGAGTTTGTCGTCATAACAGACTTGAGTAGATAAATGCCCGCATTCGATGGTGCATGGCACGCTGGAGAGGTGTTCCCTTCATGGATGAATCCCGGTTTTCACCGTACAGGGAAGATGGCAGACAATTGACATAGTGTGGGTGATTTGGTTCCTGTTATCAATGTTGTGGATGGAGTGGTCCATGGTGGTGGTGGAGTATGGTATGTGCAGGTGTATGTTATGGACAGCAAACAGGTGAATTTAATTGATGGCATCTTGAATGCACAGAGATACCGTGACGAGGTCCTGAGGCCATGTAGCAGCAGGATAATGCACAGCCTCATGTTGCAAGGATCTGCACGCACTTCCTGGAATCTGAAAACATCCCAGTTCTTGCATGGCCAGCACTCACCCAACAGTCATTGCAAACACTGAGCGTGTTTGAGATGCTCTGAATCTGGGAAATATTCTAGAATTGCGCCGCTCAAGGTGGCTGCATGTTGAAGCAGCTCTGTTCATTCTGAGATATTGCTTTTAAAACTTTAATTCCTTTTATTTCCTTCTGGATATAAATAGATTTTTTTGGATGATTATTTCCTCCGGTATCAGATGTTGTGCAACTCGAAAGAGTTTTTACTGAAGCCTTTTTAATTTTGGACATTTGTGTAACCATGACAAGGTGTTTTTTACAACCAGGAGCAGCTGATTATCATCTCCAAAGCTCAAATATCTCAACTACAGCCCCAAATCCAAAATGAGTTGAAAAGGAAGCGCTGTGGTTGCAGAGCAGGAGATGCAGGAGGCGATGTGATAAAACACGTTTATTCAGAAAGAACAGACGTCCCTGTGGATGCGTGGAACAGGCACAGCAGCAGGTACATGTTCAGGTATCAGTTAATACATCAGAACCAGATGTCAACCATCAGCTATCAGAGGACGTTCACAAAAATGTTCAAGATTGTGTGTATTACAAACAAATAGCAAAATAAACTCAAGTTTTCTGACGCAGCACAATCAAGTACTTGACTTTTTTTTTAAGGTTTTTTTTTTATATATAATATAGCTATTTTTAGTATTCAGGTTTAAAGACGCAAATTGAAACATTCATTTTACAATGAATTCTGTTTAATCAGGACAAACTAAAAACCTTTACGTCTCAATAGTGTGAGGAACAGGTTTCTACTTTTATGAACTGTGAACAATTTAAAAAAACAGCGTTTCGTGTTTAATACAAGTCGGACAGGGTCCCGTCCAGACTGCGGAGAAATCTACAAAATCTATTTTCTTATTTTAGTGCCTCTGACTTTACACGAGGTGAGAATATATAAAAATACATTAAAGGAGGAAGTGCAGACAACGTGTCAGCGAAGTGTTAAATAGGCATAAAGTGACGGAAAACGGGCGGTTAAAGAAAACTGCTGATTGAAGTGGCAGTAAAGTACCGGGGACACCGGTAATGTTCAACCCAGGTTCAATGGTTTCTAATCGACGTTCTGTTTTATCGTTACAAACATCCATCAGGCAGCTTCACCAGCACAAATGATTGAACACGCAGCGACTGAAGCCACTCGCAGGGTCAGCTGTGCAGATTTAAGTGGATCTCTGTGTAATAAATAACAGTTTGTTCTTCAACAGCCTCAATCTGGAGCCAACGGTTCATCTGAACGCAGCTATGACCAAAGTGGATTGCTGTGGTCTTAAACGTGCACCAACCTTCCAAATCTCATGGATGCTGATTCAATGGTAAGAGCTTCATGTTGAGGAACAGTAAACACGTAAGTGGCGTGTGGAGGTGCAGCACCGGACGGTTTATCTGGACACACAAGCAGCTCCTGCACTGACGGGACTTCTTGTGCGACAGCCACACATTAAGGAAGTTGTGCAAATGTTTCCAACCAGACAAAGTGTAGCCCGGACACTTACAAACCTGGTGTCTGGCTGGTCAGCAGCGTTCTGTTTCCTCACAGACGCGTTGCAGTCTCGTTGCTCGAGCTTTAAACATGTCGGGGGGGAAGTGCAACACATTTTCTCTCATCATGAGCGCCTCCCAGTCTCAAGACGGCTAGTTTTATTTTGACACACTCAGCGAGCTCTCCTCTGACAGAAAATGTGCGATATTCAGATTAAATCATAAAAGTGGTGTAGGATGTGGGCAGAGGTCAGCAACAAGGTATGGGGCACGTTTTTCAGTGAATTAAGTCCTGATTCTCAAAAACTGGGCGTGTAAAACAGCTGGTGGTCAACGCGTGCGTTCAGAGCGACTGCAGCTGAAGGTTGGACTATTCTCAGACCGTTTCTGGGCTCAGATGGTTCCTTTGGTGTCGAAGCCACGACAGAACGTGATCATCCATGTTGAAGATGAGGCGTCCACGACGGAGCTTCAGGGCCACGCTAAGAAAAAAACCGCCATATAATTACGAGAATAAAGTCTTAATATTACAAGAATAAAAAATGAGATTTATTTTTTCACGAGTCGGATCCACAAGCGACCTGTCAATCAATCCAGTGGGCGTGTCAGTAAATGGTGCTCCTTACCTGCAGAGCTGCTCTGCAGCCCATCAGAGCGTCACTGCAAGCAGGTTCAAAGTCCTGATACTGATAATAATCTGATGCTGATGTGCTGACAGATTAACTATCTCCTTATTTGTAAAACCAATACCAAAGTATAAATTAAGATGCTCAACATTCTTCATTTTACCACAATTAAAATGTGGTCAACTCTGCTTTATCGTGTCGGAGTTCGGATAATATTACGACTCATTTAGCTTCGGATTGGTCACCTGCTGACACGCCTGCTGGATTGATCGACAGGTCGCATCCTGGATTCAACTCGAGAAAAACACGAGAGCTTCAAAAAGTCTCGTACGACTTTATTCTCAAAATATTAAGACTTTATTCGGCTTTATTCTCGTAATACTACGACCTTATTCTGGTAATGTTATGGCCTTTTTCCCCTTAGCATGGCCCTAAAGCTCCGTCGTACTCCCCACAGGGTTCAATGAGACCAAAACAAAACAAAAAAATGTTGAAGCAGGTCAGAAAGCTCCAGCATGTGGTGCCTGATGGACGCTCATCTCCACCGAGCCGGACTCCTTTTCTGTTCATTTAATCCCCAAAACCTTGTTTGAATAAAAATCATTTTATACAGCAGAGAGGAGTCAAACCTTTTGTGGGGTGTTCAGCTCAGGATGGTGTTTGAAGCGATATGGACAATTTATCAAAGCATCCGTCCTCTGAACTGTGATCAGGCACCTGAGAAGTTCCAGCCCTGCCGTCAGCTTCATCTTTCTGTTATTCCCTCAAAATTCTGTTATAAGAGCATTAAAGCAACACGTTAAGGCATCCAGGAGTCACGTGCAGCTGGAACCTCTACATTTTTCTGCTGAAATAATCAAAGAAACATGAAATGTAATGAGGCGTGAAGGTTTATCGATTCTGAGCTCAGTTGTTTTAGGATGGCAGTGATCCACTGTAATCCACATTAATTGGTTCTGTTGGTTCTACTCTTACACAGAAACTTACGTCAAAATGGTCCAAACATCCCTTTAATCTGCAGCTAGGACCACGTGTCCTCCTCCCACTCATCTGTGTTGAAGACCTTCTGTGAAAACATCCCTCTGAGTTGTGCACGTGAAGCTTGAAGCTGCACATTTAGTCATGTGGCCGGGCTCGGTGAAGGTTCTTAGCCTGCGTCTGCAGTGGCTCTTCTGTCAGGGCTCTGCCCCTTTAATGGAACCAGATGTTCACAAACTGAAGTGCACAGTCACACAGAACCTCCATCCACCTGGAGAACCCAACATGGTCTGTGGAGAGACGCCAGCGAGGATCCTGGGAGTGTAAAACCAAAGACCCAAACACCTGGTCCAAGTCTGGAGGAGTAAGAACGGAGGACCTGGTTTTATAATTCAGGTGTTTGGTTTCAGGACAGCGTGAGGTCACTTCCTGTACAGAGACTGAATAAGAAGCTGTCTCACCCACAAGACAATAAATAAAGCGTAGACGTGGCCTTCACTCTAACGTTTGGTCTGATTATGATCAAAGTTTCTGAAGCTAAGGCAGATATAAAGTGTTGAACATAAAGTGAAAGTAGCACAACTCGAACTTGAAGCGTGGTCTGATCCTGAACTCACGCTGCACATCACAGCGGTGCACAGACTGTGAGCAGCGATTGTTGAGGCGTCACACCGCTGGAGGTCGTCGGGTGAAGCTCACCTTCCTCCCATCGTCAGGAAAGACCGGCTGTGGAGGCGAAGACACAGAATCAGAACGAAAAGCTGCTCACGCTGGATTTTAAATACAAAAACAAGAGAAACTGTGAATGTACAGCGAGAATAGTCTGTCGCGATAAATGATAAATCAATTAATCGCATGATAAACGAAAGTTATCGACCTCGTTTTCATTTATCAGCTTTATCGTTTCTTCGTGTCTCTCTCTTTCTACTGAAGACACTGGAAGACAAAAAGCTCAACTCGGTGCTCTTCATTGACCCTTCCTTTCTCTTTTCTCTTTAAAATCTGTTTTAACGATCCAAAGTCATGTTTTTGGATCGGTAAAAGCAGCTAAGCTGAGAAGCTAACAGGCTGACCTTGAGGAAAAAAAAACCTCCGTCTTGTCCAAGATCCAAAATTCACGGTTGAAACCCGTTCCTTCAAGTAAAATGTTTTTCACTGCAAAAAGAAGCTGAGAACTGTTTACTGATTTTTTATTAAAAGCTTTAAGACAAATGCTTTGCTAAAGATCTCAAAACACACTGAGCATCCGCCATTTTGAGAACTGAATAAAGGAAGGACAGCCCATGTCACGTCAAGAAGCCTCCCTCCCATTTTTTAAGAGACACGCTGCTTGCTCCCTCACAATCCATCCTTGGCTTCAAACTGTCTTATACTGCCATCCAGTGGTGAAAAAAAGTACTACACACAAAACAAAATAAGCATTTCTTCTTAAATTTGACAATAATTACTAGTTATTGTCAAATTTCAAACAATATTATTATCGCAATAATTTCCGAGACAATTAAATCGCCCAGCAACATTTGTTATCGTGACGGGCCTAAGTGAGAACATTTACTGCTGAAGGATTTCTGCTGAAAACGTTGCTTCACTACACCGTTAATGCGAAATGAGGTTAAACAGCCGATATCTGCTGAAAGCAGGAAAATACAAAAAGCACATACAGCTGAAATTAATTAGAAAGTAGCTAAAAAAGCTGACAACAGCAGAAATGTACCTGAAAGCAGCATAAAAACTTTAAATTTGTAGCACAAAAGGTGGAAATTAGCAATTCATATAACACACACACACATCTATATATATATATATATATGTGTGTATATGTGTGTGTGTATATATATATATATATATATATATATATATATACGTGGGTGCATAGACACATGTGTATATACTTTCAGGCAGTACTAATGCCTAAATGGGAGGAGCAACTTCCGGCTTCAGCTTCTTTTCCAAGCAGAACTACCATCAAAACAACAACTCTGTTTTTAAACGTTGATTAAACCGGTTTATTTATCAAGAATCAAACATTCAGGGGTCATTAAAGTTCTAATGATGAGGACATTTTCCCACAACAGAACTCGCACGTCATTTCTTGACCAAAACCCTGACCAGGTCAAAGGATGCCGTTTTAAAGCGTTGCCAACTTCATGTAATTTATATTTGATAGATGAATTGAACTGAGGTGAAAACTTTTTGGAATTTTGTAAAGACTGCGCCACGTCGCCACTGACGAGTGCGACTCCACTCGGCTCCCGTGTTATCGGATCTTCACAGGGGTAAGTGATTTTCCACGGTGAATAGTTTCCCTGCTCTGCGAATCGTGACAGGTCATTGTTGGAGCCTCTCCACCCGCTGATGTCCTTAATCACGTTATATTAGGACTTGAACTTCGTTAGCTTATCTTGGCACTGTTTATAAGTCCGGGTGTAGCCAAGTTGCATCATAACCTCGGATATTTTTCAGTACATGTGCTCATTTCTTGTGGCGCCGTCCGTCAACACGATGGAGGCTCAGAGCGGATCATCCAGTGATGGAGCTCCGCCGGCCAATCAACAGCTGCTGTCTGCTTATGTCTAGGAGCGGTCTGCTTGGAACCACAAACAAGGCGGTCCCATAAACCAGGCAGAGTGGGGGTGGGTACCGGCTGTGGGCAGGTCCTTAACTGGTGTGAAACTGAAAGTGCCGTAAGTGTGCTGTTCTTGCTTTTGTAACAACAAAGACTGTTCTGATACACGGATATTTGCATTTACAAGCAAATACAGCAGCAACATGCAGCACTTGAGCGGACACCCAAGGGTCACACCCAAAAGGGATTTTTTTTCTTAATCTCTGCTGAAGTGACAAAACGAGCCATGATTCAAGCAGAAAGAATGCTGAAACTCCTTCAAGGTCACATGGAGTGAGGTGAAACATGCTGTTCCTCCAGCGTACTGGCTCGAACATCTGGAGCAAATAAACCTCAAAAGATGTTAAAACGTAAAAATACTGGGAGACCAAGGAAAACGTAAAAGTGACACGACAAACAAACCGCAAGCGGAAAAAAAATAAATAAATAAACTGAAAAAACACAAATCATCAACAACAGCTAATCTTTAAAAATGTTCCAGTGCGCTAAAGAGAAGCAGCGAGGGAATCTGCAGTTCAGTTCAGGATCTCAGCTGAACGACAATCACAACAATCCCAACAGGACAATAATCCCAACAGGACAATAATCCCAACAGGACAATAATCCCAACAGGACAATAATTTGTAATTATTGTCAAATTTAAGAAGAAATGTTGGTTAATTTATTTTGTGTGTAGTACCTTTTTTGGCCACCGGATGGCAGTATAAGACAGTTTGAACCGAAGGATGAATAGTGAGGGAGAAAGCAGCGTGTCTCTTTAAGAAAAATGGGAGGGAGGCCTGTTGACATGACATGGGCTGTCTCTCTTCGGTCTTAAAATGGCAGACACTGTGTGTTTTGAGCTCTTTAGCATAGCGTTTTTCACACAAAGCTTTTAATAAAAAAAAATCAGTAAAGTTGTCACCTTCTTTTTGCAGAGAAAAACAACTTTTTACACAAAGGCACGGGTTTCAACTGTGACTTTTGGAGCTATGACAAGACTGAGGTCCACCCGGCCCGTTAGCTTAGCTTCTTTTAGCGACCCAAAATTGTGATTCTGGACAGTTGAATCAGATTTTAAAGAGAAAGGGAGGGGTCAGTGAAGAGAACCGGAGTTGAAACTTTTATCATCCAGTGTCTTCAGTAGAAAGAGAGACACACGAAGAAAGATGATAAATGAAAATGAGGATGATAATTTTCATTTATCATGCGATTCATTGATTTGTTCATCGCGACAGGCCTAATTCTAAGAGACATGATAGTGCATGTATGTGCATCAGTGTATGTATATAATTGAGCCTGTGTGGATTAGAAAAAATCCACAAAAGATTTAAACTTCTGCACCCAGTTTTTGTTTTTAAAATCATTTGAAGCAATAAATTGTATCATCTTTACACTCTGAAAAAAGAACAGTGCAAATAAATCATTAAAGCCCAGCATTTAAATGACAACCATACCCAGAATGAGAGCAAACTTAGCAGTCACCATAAAAAAATAACCTAAAACAACAAATGTAAAAAAAATTAAACTTACCTTTAGACTTTCGATACACCGTCTTATTTGAACAGAGGCTTGTCTTCATGGTGTTTGTCTATTGTTTCATCGGTCTCCTCGCCCTTTCCTTCTCCACCCTCCTCCACACTGAGGATCACACTCTGCCGAACGCTGACGGAGATCACCACCGCCTGGATGATGCCATAGATTAAAGCAAACTGGGGGAGATACTCCTGGATCAACCAGAGCAATCCAGCCATTCCAACTGTGGACACGAAAAACATGGCCATGCCATGAAACCACAGCCTCAGCGCTCCCTGGACCCCCAGAACCTCGAGGATCAGCTTGGTGGGAGGGGACACGGTCCACAGGAAGGCGACGACAAACAGGTCAAAAAGGTGTCGGAGGAAATTGAAGCAGATCTCGTAGTGCTCGGGCACGATCTCCACGTTCCAGCTGTGTGCAAAGAGTCGAAACGGAGAGGTCAGGTGAAAGGAGAAAGGTGTAGGAGATGGAGGTGGTGTTCCATAATCTGAAAAGTCCCCATCAATGTCATGCTCCTTCCCTCTGTCACCTTTCCTTTGTCTTAGTTCAGCCAGCTCAGTTTTTCTTGGCCACAGGGACACACTCGGGAGATATCTAACCCACCACCTGGATACTTGACAACTGGCTTCAGCCTCCTGTTTCCCTGCTCCGAGTGCTTCCATTTCCACAGGTTGCAGCTTCTCCTGGGCCTCCCAGAACTCCTCTGCTGCATCGCTCTGGATGCCTGGTCTTCTCCACCCTCCCCAGATCCAGGAGGTCCATCCTCTGAAACCCCCGTTACCCTTCTCAGGCAATTTTGGGGTCTCAGCTGTCAGAGTCGTGGTGTCTGGGCCATAGTTGCCCCAGTAGTGAACCCAGCCCCACACCCTGCCCAGCACAGCTTTCATGGCTCTGTAATCAACTTATAAAGGGTAAACTGTCTTTCTGTTGTCGTCCTGGTTCCTAAAGCCGAAGTAGTTCACAGGGATTCAGGCCCAAGCAATGACATGTTCTCCAGTCAGACACACCCGGAGATGTGGGGAAACCAGTTCCACCGAGTCGACACCGGCCACGTTGATGGGGAACTGTTTATATGAAGTGGACCGGGTCTACATGTCTCAGGGTCGAGCTAGATCCACATCAGATCCAGCTGGGAAGTTACCCTCAGCAGTCCAGCCTTAAAAAAGGACCGATGTGGTCCCAGAGTCCGCCACTTGTCCCACTAAAAACAAGAAGACAGGATTTATTTATACACCTCCAGCAGAAAGTCCTCAGTTTAAGCACCGTGCGTTAGCCCACACTGCACAGATCAAAACAACGAGCTTAAGCACAAGTAAAAAACAAAGCCAAACATTTTTAATTACACATGACAACTTTAAAGGTCTTTAATCGTTGTACAAGTTTACTAAAAAGGCCAAATAAACACTTCGCTTTGCGACGTTAGCTAGTTTTTCAGCCCGTCTGTTGCTAGCGGTTAGCTTCAATAATAGAAGACAAATCAAGTTTCTTACCGTCCCTGAAATCAGAATTAAAGGACGAAAAGCAACTTCCAGACAAACTAATCACTAATTTAAACCATCATCGATGATGTTTGTTGGTTTTACATGAAAACAAAGGCGGAGGCGGCGGAAAACATCCACCTGACGAAATCAAAAAAGTAACACTACCGGATACGCAGCACGACACAACACCGGTGTTACGTCGAGCCCCGTACCCCGCGATTCTCGAGTCTGGTTTTCCAGTTGAAATGGAGCTTCTGCTTCAAGTCGTCACAGAAAACATGTTGGGACAGGATTATGCGCTGTAATTTTAATTTTTCCTGCCGACAAGAAGGAGAAATGAGCTGTTGACATCCACTATTTTCCTGCTACAGAGGAGCAAAATGTCGCTGAAAAAAGAAAATGGGTTTTAATACAGCACCAGCTTGATTTTAGCCTTTTAAACACTGGTTATGCTAGAAGTCTGCTGCTTCTCATAAAAAAATATTTAATTAAAATGCATCCAAGTTACATCAGTGCAAAGTTATTCATGTGCAAGTGATTCAAGAGTTGAACTAGAAGGTCCCTGGAAACCGACGGACTGCCACGTGCTGCCATTTAAAAATAAGGTCAAAAATGCTCAAGATACAGTTGGAAGTTTTAGTTCAGACCTCTTCAAACATCCTAAATGCACAATGAGCTACTCTACAACCATCACTGCTCCCAACTCAAGGATTAAATACATGCTGACCTCTGCCTACAATACTGTAGTCTGTCCTTATCAATGTTCCAACATATTTTGAACAATAATGATATTTATCTTTCTTTAGATATCGTTTAACATTTAGGAACTTTTGCATGAAACATTTTTATCTGTTGCACTTGAATTTCCCCATCCCTGGGACAATAAAGGCCATTTCTATTCTCTTCTACTCTAGGTCATGTGACCTCAGTTTTGTCAGCATTTTTTAATTAATGGAATCAGTTTGCTAATTAAATCAGTACTTTGTGATTTTACGTCTGTGATAAGCGCTTTATAAACTTTACATCACAACAGTAACTTAAAATGCAGATTAAATGGCACATGGTTTGACCCGATCATTATGATATAAAATTTGTGGGGGTACGTTGTTGTGTTGCATTAAAGTTGAAAGAGACCTTTTCATGTGGACAATAGGTAGCAGCCTTCAGCCAGTCCCCAATAAGTCAAAGATGTTTATTGGACAGAGTACAACACTCAAAACATTTAGTTGTAAAGCCTTTATTTAAGATTTTTGTAAATATGTTTGTTTTTTTCCACAGAAGAAAAATATATATCATCATCAACAGCGAGTCAGTTCAGTCGGATGATTTGACCTCTGGATCTTCAGTCCCGGTTTATTTTCAGGACCTGTGGAGGGACATGAATATTTCAGGTTAACGTTTTTCAGATTTCACCCCTCGGGTCTCCAGAACGGTTCAGAGCTCCAGCTGTCTGAGGGTCTCAGTGCGCTGCGAGAAAAACTTCAGTTTGCATCAGTAGAACCGAAAAACTGAATCATCATTGACCGACAGACAAGCAGCCACGTACATCTGGTCTTAAATACGAAAATAAAGCTTCATGCAGTGTAGTAACCCTGCACTAACACCATCTTGACTTTGTCAGTTGATTTGTGATGACCACATTTAGAGACGTGACCCTGCACGACTTGTAGTGCAGCAGATCTTTGATAGTATTTTTGTAGTGGCGAGTTTTATAATTCAATTTGAACATGGCAGTTAAGGCCAGTGACAACATTTACCCACATCATGTGAAACAGTATTCAACATTACTAAAGTTCAACTTGTGCAAACACTGGTACTTACACAGATGGAAACCAAAACCGTTCATCAGTGTGGATCACCTACAAGAAGAAACTCGATTACAATCGCATTTAAATTAAATAAAAATCAGGAAATGCACCATTTAGTCACGTTAGACCATGCACTGCAGATCGTTTGTTTTTGCAGTAAAGCCAGTTATTTTAGTCAATGTCTTGATTGTGGATAAAACCAGGCCCGAGGCTTATTTGTGTGTCAGATTAAAACTGAAGAGCACCAAATGAGCTGCAGTTAATGGATTACACATCTTGGTTTAGTGGTCAGGATGAGATGAAAGCAACTTCATGGTTTTCTCAGAGACTCTAGTCTAATCATCATCCCACATAAAACCAGTTAGGACAGAAGTGTGCAGGCTCCAGTTCTTACCTGCAGGAGGGGGCCCCCTCTGCTGAACAGCCGGGCGTCGACACAAACCTGCCCAGTAAAAAGACACGAGTTAATGGTCTCAAACTTCACACTTTTTACTCCATCAGTTCAGAGCCCGAGTGGCAGCAGTTCTTAAGCATCCAAGGATCACGATCAAGAATTTTATTACCAGTAGGCTTTTG